CAGCGCATGCGAACTTGTGCCAAATCATAAAGAGCTTAGTCCATACAGAAGTTGTCCTTTTTTTCATGCCTTTTTCGATCAAATTTTCTTCATCTTACAAACCATGGCCATTTTGGCAGACCGTGGTTACATGGCAAGTCAAAGATTGATTTTTGATCACTTTTTTCGACATTATTTTCGCTAATTTGATTTCGTGCGAAAAACAGTTTTAGCGCCTAATCGTCAATCGTTGCTTTGTAATTAACAAATGCGAGATGAAAAAAATGTTATATTGTTGGGGTAGTAATCATTTGCGGGTGCATTTGTCGTAACTCAGATTTGCCGTGCTCCTGGATCAGAGGGTATTTTTACAAGCACCAGAGCATGATGCTCAGTAGCCGATCTTCCGAGAATACTGTGCAAATTACAAAGCTGCAGTGTTCCGGAGTTCTGCTGAAGATAGTGCTTAATGTATTCTTTATTTCCAGGCTTACACTGGCAGCAATAGTATATGGGGCATCAGCATATTCCAATCGGACAGTAAACGAAGTGTACGAATCGTTAAAGCAGGAATGTGAAACAGAGCTGAGGAAAGAACGGGAACAGGATCGAACTATATCGATTTATCAGAAAGAACACAAAATTTGGTTCCGAGGCCTGGCGAAGTACCAGATGCAGAAGGAAAAAAGAGATATGGACGCCAAACTTGCGAACACTCCGAATACCGAGCATTCCTCTTGATCCTGGATTTGCGTTCGAAAATCTCACATTTGTTTCTGTTTGTTGTTTGTACAGTAGGGAAGAAATCCAATAAATTTTTTCATTCCTGTTGCACTAATGTTGTTTACAAGCCATAGTGTCTATACGATAGAAAGCATAAATATGCAGAACTTCAGAAGTTAAAAAAATTTAAAATTGGAAAACGTGGGAGTCGAGGCATTCCAGCCGGACATAACGGGAATTCCGTAAAGTTTGTCAGCTGCAAAACACAAGTGCTCCAAATTTATCATAGAAGTTTTAAAGTAGTTTTCAAAGTCGAAGTATTCGTGCTTCATTGGTTGTCTAATTGAGGAACATAAGTCTTTAGAAGCTTTCCACGAAAAAAGCAGTCTGAGTTCCGGAGATGCTGAGATGCAGCTCTGCTTACCGAACTAGCAAAATACAATTTTTATCGCCACCTTTATGGCAGGACGAGGTTTTCCCAATGCGACGAAGGTAATTTTGCGAAATAGCACGGTAAAACAGCCTTACTAGTTCTACGTGGGTATCGTGAGCGAGCAAATCATCGCGGAGTGGAAACAGTTCAAATGATTTGAAATAAGATGATATACATGAGCGGATGTAACCAGTGGTGGACACAGGAAGGACCAGTGCCGATTGGACTGAAGGATTAGAGGTATTCGCACAGCAGCCGTAATTTAGTGAGGTCGAGATCGTACGGTAAGGTCTTAACTACGGGGTGATGTTGCCTGTATCTACCGATCTTTCGTTCTGATATTCACAGTCATTCACTCGTAGTCGAGC